CGTTGCAGTGGCAACAGCTTCTCCCTAGAGCTTCTGAGGAAGCTTCTTCTCCTTTAGCATGCTTCTCACCATATCAAGCAAAGTACGGTTTCTTCTTTCAGCAAGACCATTGTGTTGAGGGGTATAAGGAGCAGTAACCTCATGCTCAATTCCATTCTCCTCACAGAACTTCTGGAACACTTTGGAGTTATACTCACCTCCAGCATCAGTTCTAAGAATCTTCAACTTCTGACCACTCTGATTCTCAGCCTTCATTCTGAACTTCTTGAATTCATCAAACACCTCATGTTTAAATTTAATAAGGGATACCCATGTCATTCTTGTGAATTCATCAACAAACAACACAAAGTACTTATTCCCTCCAATTGATGCTACTGGAAATGGACCACACACATCAGAATGTACAACTCCCAAGGCATGTTTTGCTCTTGGAGCAACTTCTGACGCAAATGGCAAACGTGGTTGTTTTCCTTCCATGCAAACTTTGCATGACTTCTCAGGCTTCTTAATTGCAGGAATTCCATGTACCGGCTTCTTTGAATTCAGATGTTTTAGGCTTCTGAAATTCAAATGACCAAATCTTCTGTGCCACAGCTCACTCTCCTTCTCAGCACATGTTGCACTAAGACATTCTGAGTCTGCAGTTCTGACATTCACCTTGAATATTCTATTCCTTCCCTGTTCTGACTCCATAATCAACTTCTGATTGTATTCATACAGCTTCAGAAGATTGTCCTTCATGGTAACTGAAAACCCTTTCTCAATTAATTGTCCCACACTCATCAGATTGCTTCTGATGCCAGGTACATACCACACGTTCTGAATCAATGCTGTTTTCCCATTGTTCAGAGTCACTCTGACATTTCCCATACCTTCTGCATTAAGATATTTGTCATCAGCATATCTGATCTTTGTCCTCTTTTCAGAGTCAAAGTCAATCATCCATTTCTTGTTTCCAGTAAGATGATTTGAACAGCCAGTGTCCATATACCACCAGTCTGTCAGATCATCAGATTCAGAGGCCATCAATAGCACAGATTCGTTATCAGAACTTCTGGCTATATTTGCTTCTTCTGATTTTCTCTCCTTGTTTGACCAACAATCTCTAGCAAAGTGACCAAACTTCTTACAACAGTAACATTGGATCTTCTTCTTGTCATACTTCTCTTTTCCCTTCTGAGAATTCTTTTGTCTATCAGAGGTTGAGCTTTCTGACTTCTGACCACCATCAGATCTTCTCCTGGCTTCTGACTGCTTCTGATACCTCCTATTAGAAGTTGCTTTCAGAGCCTGCTGCTCTACTTCCCTTTCAGAAGTTCTTTCAGTCAAACGCAACTCTTGCGCTTCTAAACTGCTCTGCAGCTCTTCAATTCTCATGGTACTCAGATCTTTGGAATGTTCTATTGCTACCACAATGTAATCAAATTGAGAGGTAAGGGATCTCAATACCTTCTCCATGATTGTTTCTTCAGAAAGAGTTTCTCCACACGCCTTCATCTCATTAGTGATCAGAATCACTCTGGAGATGTATTCAGAAACTTTCTCATTATTCTTCATGTTGAGATTCTCATATTGCTTTCTCAAGGACTGAAGCTTCACCTTCTTCACTGATGCGTCACCACCATAACATCTAACCAGTGTGTCCCACGTAGCCTTTGCTGTCGTTGAATCTGCAATCTTCTCAAACACATTTACATCAACACATTGATGAATAAAGAATAATGCTTTCTGATCCTTCTTCCTTACTTCCTTCTGCGCGTTTTTCTGTTCATCTGTTGCATCTGCTGCTACCGGAACATAACCATCAGTGACAAGATCTAAAACATCTTGAGCACCAAACAGTACACGCATTTGGATCATCCAACGATTCTAGTTTTTTCCGTCAAATACTGGAAGCTTGGTGTTCATCATTTCCGTTTATCTTCACCTTGCACAATACACTCAGATTTCTCACACAGTGTTTCCCAACCCACAGAATAAAATTCTGATCAGATTTTGTTCAAGATTCAACACGAATCTAAGAATCAAAATCAAACACACAAGACCTCACGTTCACTCGTGTTTCCCGTGTTTTCCAATGAATCTGAACCGGAGCTCTAGATACCAATTGTTGGTGCAAAGGTGAATAAATGATGAACAGAGGAAATATTCTATTAAGAATGACGGCTACAAAAACATGATAAAAGTTACAATGATTGTCACCCTATTTATAAGCTAAAACTAGGGTTACTAGAATAAGATAAAATACTAAAATACCCTCTAACAAACTTAGGGGCTAAGAAAATAGTATAACTAAATAAATATGAATTACTATTAATATTCTAATACATACGCGTATGGGCACATAACAGACAATCGCATATGCGTCCATGCACTTCCATACGGATTTAAAAGGTTTTCAAATAAAAAACCTCTGTGTCCATCAAGTGATCCTAGAATTTATATATGTTGCATTAATACATATGTATTAGAGGGTTATGATAACCATAGACCAAGAATAAATAAGTATATATTTCATGATTAATCTTCGTACAAGTATGAGAATTAAATGACATTCTTGTGATGGAAAGTCACCAACTCATATAAAAATTTATGACATAAAGTTTGTTGACAGACATTAGATTGTAGTGGAATTTTTGGTTGCTACATTATAACATGATAATTGAATGATTACTTATGTTTTAGGATGTATATAAATAGTGTTTAATTCTCTCTCACTCACTCGCGCTCTATTTCTCTCTCTCTCTCTCTCTCACGCATGTATATAATTGGTCTCAGGCCAATTATATAAAAAAGAAATAATCAACCTCTTGTTCATGTGTTTGAACACAAAAGAAGAAAGAAGTGTGATAGAGAAGATATATAAGAGAGTATGTGACAACCACAAAAGGCAAAGTTCTTGGTCAACAAAGACATTCATGTGAACTTCTATTGTCTTATGATCTAAAACAATACCATGTATGTTAAACAGTATTGTATGTTATTCAGTATTGTTGTTCAAGTGACTTCAAACACATTAAAAAATATATTGAAATAAAAATATTTTTCAAAGACTTCTACAATACTTTTAATATTTTTAAAAAAGGAGAGAAGAAGAAGAAGAAAAGAATAATAACTCAGACAAAAGGCAATAAAGTAAAGGATAAGAGAAAAGGAAAAACACACCATAATTATAATGTTCAACCTCAAAACCATAAGACATGCTCTAGTCTCCAAGAAATACTTCTTAGTATTTCCATTACTGCCATAATTTTAACAAATGATCGGTTTACATAAATATTTTACTAAATTCAGCTTGCACATTTATAATTTATCAAAGTTTCAAGAGAACAAATTTCCCTTGATTTAAAATTACATATCATAATAAAACGACACTGGTTCTCGGTACTAAGTTATATTTTAAGTTAGTTTAAAATTTTGAGCAAGGTTAGGGTATAGAAAAAGGTGTTTCTTTGAAATCGAGTATATTTTCATTTCAAATGAACACAAAACCTTATTTTATCTTATAGTAAAATACTTTTAATAAAAAAAGAAAACTTTTAAAAACATAGTCAATTATGGCCTAACAAATAAAAAAATATTTAATGGATCAACAGTTCTGTTGATTAGTAGGTCTCCATAATCGATTATAGTCTAAATTTTATTAGTGGTTTTTAATTTAAGTTGTCATATGCAAATTTATTCTTAAAAAAGACAAGACAACTTAACACATGATCAAATACCGAATTCTTAGCTTACACGTTCGTGTTTTTTCATATTTATTAGCTTTTGATTCATGAGAAACTTTGACCCATGTGTCATCATCAAAACATGAACCATCCATAAGTGTGACAAACTAAATTCCAGCATGCACCATGCTCTTGCCTTGACACTACACGTTAAAATTCCTTTAGCCTTTCTATAAATGAGGAGTGGATATCCTAACAACTTTCCCTTTAGCCAACAGGCAGTTGAAATGTTTGATAATTGGGGTACACTACTTCACAAAGTATATAGTCAAAATCAACAAATAAATAAATTATAAGTATATAGTCAAAATAAAAAAACATAACATGCTCTGAAATAATTCAAACAATTTGACCCTTGTAGGTTCTGATTTAGAAGGGAATATTTCCAAAAAAAATGGTAAATTTAAGAACGTGTAAATAAAATATATAAAAAAAACTGTACATAATAGATTAAAATAACATTTACCACAAAATATAATTCTTTGGTATTCAATTTAACCATAAATCAGAAATCTGATAGATAAGAAGTTTTTGGACTCTTTGAAAGTTATGAATATGAAATGTAAGGCGTGAAGAAGAATAAAGAAAATCATTGATAGAAAAACCAATAACAAACTCAATTAACTAAAACCACTAAAAATTTAAGTTAAAAATACCATTATTGGAGGGCATAGCCTCTGAACTTTAACTTCTCAAAATCCACTTTCATCGTAGTCAAAATTTTGAATGCTTATCGAGCAATCTATCATTAATTTGTTTACACAGAATTTCTGTCGATTTAAAGAAGCTCCTGAATAGCTTATATAGCTTATAATAATAAAACAGAACGTTATATCAACGCATTCACAACAGAAAAAGAAAAATAAACTTCCAAGGAAATTTATACTCAGAATAAAAGGACACAGGTTCTAAGACCGTACACGTTCAAAAAAATCTGTCAACGAGCTCCACAAAGCATGATTTTGTACAGTACGTAAAGTTGTAAACTACCTCACCAATCACCATTTTATAAACTTTTTACACCGTGAAAAAAAAGGCCTGTATAGTCAACCATCACCATAATATTTTCATCTCTCTGCAGGGAAACATCTGAACCTCATCTTGCTTGAAATTCTATGTATAAACTTAAAGGCTACAAATGTACACATTTTTGCAGTACAACCAACAACTTTATTTTCAATCAGCAAAAACATAGACTCTTGATGAAGAAGCTTGCACTAAGCTCAGTTAGCTAGCTGTACAAACTACAAACATTATTTTTCTACGTCACGCCTAAGCAGGTTGAGGAGTCTGAGCAGCAATTCTTCTTTCTGCAATAAATTACAACACCAGTTAACAAATGTGATTAACAGTGAGTATAAGAATAGATACGGGGAATAAACATGGAAACGTACCTCCAGCAGCAACGAGTTTCTCTACACGCGCAACAATATGCTTTCCATAGGTGTACTTTTTCAATGCATTCAAATGAACTTTGATTCGCGAAAGAATCAGCTCCCGTTGATGGTCGTCACATGTTTCTAGCACTTTTTGGACAACATAATTTGCAAACTGATCTTTCATCATTGCCTGCATACAAGAGGAATGTGATTTTAGCATATTTTACAGAAAGGGGAAACCGTCCTAACTGAATGAATGACAACCATTTGTCAGCTCTAGGCATTATAAATTGACAATCGAAGAATTATTGTAGATAGTGGCATGTTTATTTTTGTTAATCATGTCATAAGTATCAGGTATTTATTGTTGTTTAGGAATGACTAATCTTCGTCGGAGAACCAACGAAACTAGCAAGGTGAATTCTCTTCAACAAAGATTTCTTCATAAACAAGGGTTAGCTAACCACATTACAGTAAAAAAAAAAGTCAGAAAGACGTGCAATAGGATTGCAAATAATGAAATCATTCATCGTGGTATTAAACCTAGAAACAAAGGTCCAACCGGCTTATGAGAAGAGGAATATAATATGCATATTGGCATTGCCATCTAATTTATCATCAAATAATAAGGACTAGAGTTACATATTAGAAAGAGTTCAAAAAACCTGAAGAGGCTCATTTTCATCTGTGGTTCCAAGCATCTCACTGACGAGTATTTGGCGTTCTGAAGGACCACTGAAGGTCAAGCATTTCTCCACAACATTGGAGGCAAATTTTTGTTGACTCATTTGAACTATCCTCCCAGCTAACTCCTTTATTATAGTAGAACGCTCGTGAGGCTTCCCATGTTCCAGTACATGCTGTTGTTATACAGAAAAAGGAAACAAAACAACATATCAACTCAAATGCTTAAATGACGTATTATATGAATATCAAAGGAAGTGATGACAAACACTGTAACATTAATAAGGTAGCCGTGGAGACCAAAAACATGTTTCATTTGCAAAGAGCCACCTCAGATGGCATATTAACAGAGGATGTCACAACATAAAGCAACAGACTTTGAAAAAATTAATCATAAGAAACAATTATCACTGCAGCATTACATCTGTATTCATATCATAACATTCATAATAAATGAAGTTAAATGATAAATGACAAAATAAGTTTTCTAGTGGCATTAGTCAGAAAAATAAAATAAAAACCTGAACAACGTAGTTGCCATACTGATCCTGAGCTAACATACTGACAGAACTTAAAATCTCATCCATAACTTTCTGCTGCGTTGTAGGGTCTTCGCAGTGCTCCAGTACTCTCTGCCATATAAAGGTATTATTATGGCATATAAATTTAAAAATGAAAGTTTGTTATTATGTGACAAATGATTCTTAGATGCTTGATAGTAAAAACAGTAACAAAAGCAGTTCAGAAATCTTACTTGTATCACACGACAACCATATGGATGGGTTGAGAGTGTCACAACTTGATCAAAAAATGTTGAAACAATGAAGTCAATTGCATCTTCTGGGACACATTCAATACACTTCTGAATGACATGATTACCATTCTGATCACGTACACAGCGCATGATATTACCATCAAGCTCTTGAACCATCTCTATTTTCTGATCCAGATCAACAACTTCAATGGCCTAAAAAGGGATTCATAATTAAAAGAACAGAGGAAAATGATCAGATATTCAAGAAAATAACAGATATGAAGACAAAAATAAATCAACTATTGCCAACCTAAATCATCAATACCTTCTGGATGACCCGACAACCATACATTTGAAGGCTGAGTGTCAGGACATGGCCAAGAAGCTTGTTGGCTAATTCTCTTCTCTGGGGTGCAAGTCCATGCTCAAAAAACTGCACGATGCAAATCAACTATTGCTCAAACCAGATCTGTGAAACAGAATAATCAACCGAGTCTGAGAATAATAATTTTTACCTTTTGAACCACATAATTACCAAAGACATCAGTCATCAAAACAAGAGCATGCGGCATGATTTCCTGATAAACCATGTTTTTTTCTTCTGTAGTTGCTGTTTCAAGCTTCTGTTGGATAAATCGGCTCCCATATTGATCCGCACTGTCGATGATAGCAAATTAATTCAATTTTATTTTCAGAGGCAGAATAAGAACAGATCAAAAGACCAACAGGCAACAAAATATACCTGAATTCAACTACATGTCCAGCAATTTCAGAGAGCTCAAAACACTTGGCTTTATTGCTCTTGAACTCCTCCAACAGAGAAGAAGCAAAGCTTTCATCCATGTTCCCAGTATCTACATGCCAAGGTCCCATGACCCCAGCTAAGTTCCTCATTCCAGAAGCAAAACGCATGTTTAGATCGTTGTGTCTGATGGGACTTCCAGACGCAACTGGAGAAGCAGAGTTTGCCATTGGACTTCCTGGATAAGACAATCCAACCCCATATGCTGGATTTCCATAATAACCATGGTGATTGGAGTTGGTTGATTTACCACCCAGTGGTACATTGTATTGTGACTTTTGAGGCGAGAGGACAGACCCAAGATAAGCTTTCTGAAGCTCGAGTAAATTCATGTATGAATTGCCCAAGTAGTTCCTGTCCACAGAGGGGTCATTAAGAGCGGCAAGTTGTGCTGCAGCATATTCAGATGTCCTCATGTACTGAAGATACATAGGATCAACAAACGGGGCCTGAAGACCGCCCCCTGCAATTTGATTTCCCATCCGACCAAGGCTATGCACATCAGATGGAGAACCAGCTCCAGAAGCCAAACCAACTCCGAGAAATCTCGAGTCCATTCCGGGCGATGCCAATGCTGATGCAGCAGCAACATTTTCAAACAAGGGTGGCAAACTACCGGTGCCATATTGGTTAGTCATCAAGGATGTCAAAGCAGGATTTCCGGCATAACCACTTACACCATAGTTAGTAAATGAAGAATTCATACCATCAATACCCTGATACTGAGCTGGCAAATTACCTCCTCCGCTAAAATGGGTGGTAGGCGATCCTTTGAAATACGAGTTATTTGAAGGAGCAGAGGAGTTTTGCAGCTCAACCTGCCGATGCAGAGATAGATTATTGAGATCTGATCCACTCCTGATCTTAGCCGAACTCTGCAAATGCCCTGATTCAGAGTTTTTTAGATATGCATGTTGCTTGCCATGATCTTGACCACCCTGCATACCAAAAAGGTATCTCTGATGATTATCGGCGTCTGATTCAACCTGTGATGGCAGATGGTTTTCATCACCTGCTGATAAGTTCATCCCTGACAATGCAGCCACAAGATCTGCTGACTCATTCTTGCCAGATGAAACACTGTTATATGCATCTGGACTGATAATACCTCTTTTGTCAGAAGCAACACTTCTCCCTCCACCAATAGGCGTGAGGCATGGACTAGGAACCCTTGCAACATGTTGTGGATCAGGAGTAGTGCTTCTTGACAGTGAAGATCCTCCTAGAGCAGCAGCATAAGAATATGAAGTTGGCAGACCAATATTTTGTGTTGCAGCTGAACCTTGAACGTGAGCCAACTCTGCTTCAGAAGTATTTAAGACATCAACAGTTTCATCAAATGCATTACGACTTGCTGGACGAGAAGGAAGGCCTGAGATCGAGGTGTTATGCTCCATATCATCCTACAAAATTAATGGTCATCAACTATTGGTAGAATATCAATGCCAAGTATATGCTAAGCTCACTAGCAAAAATGCCAAATTAAGATGATAGCAAGTAAATTTAAATTGATATTGCGACAAGATATAAGTCTAGGAATCTTCATTTTTCAAATAGATGGCGACAAAATATATAATTATAACAATTTATAAAGGGATAACTCAGATACCAATTACCAACTGTAACTGAAAATTTTAATTTAAATAAAAGTGTAACTGAAAATGTAAATTAACAATTCAAAAAGTCAACATATAAATGCCAATTTCCAAATGTAACCAAAAATTTAAATTCAAATTTAGATGGGAGTTTGAATAACTAACATGGATTAAATAAAAAAAAACAGACCTAAGCAGTGCCAGAATTAATCTTAATATATGAGGAACATGGGCTGCAAGGCCAATATAAACATATACTCTGCTTCAACACTGATAGGTTTAAAAATGTACCATAAAAAGTTAATCAAAACTGCTGGCCGTAATGTGTAAAAACCCCACAAAAAGCTAAAAAAAAGTATGGCTTGAAAAAAACAATGAGTGCCAAATATTTTATGTTGAATGCAACAAATGAACCAGATGATGTGGGTAAACAATCATGAAACTAAGATTAGATACCACAGGAGAATCGATCATGAAGGAACATTAGTAAAAATATATGAAAAATAAAAAGATTCAATAAAATTCACAAAATGTCATGCTTGCATTACCATCACATTGTGCTAGAAAAAATGGTATAGAAGCCAAAAGCCACATATTGATATTGGCAGTTATCATTTAATTAATCAAAATAATTACAATCATTAATCAATCGCAATCATTAATCAAAATAGGATCACACATCAGAACATTAAAATCAAAACCTTCAAATAGATAGAATGATATTCAGAGTACAGACTGCATTATTCAATTCAATAATCCAATACAGCATTAAATAGGAAAAACACAATCAGCCCAACAGAACAATAACTGAACACCTAAATCTGTTATCAACAAACCTTAACTTAACAACAGAAAGAAAAAAAAAACTGAGCTACTAACAAGGCTAAAAAAGTGTTAAAAGATAATAAACAAGAGAAACAGACTACCTGAAAAATTTCTGCAAGGCTCTTTTGTTTGTTCCTAAGTCCCAATCCAGGTAAACCAATAAGACCATCACCACCCCATTCAGCAGAGCCTCTTGGTACTTCAGTATCCACCTCACTCCTTTCTTGCTTCCTAAAATTAAAACCCGGCGGCGTCGAAAACATTGCCCTACCACCATTATCATCGGTGATACTAGCTTTCCTCCTATCTCCAATTCCACCTACACCTGAGTTTCCACCTTGCAGCCTTTGTTGAAACCTCCAATCCTCTTTTGACAACAAAGGAGGTGGAAGTCTAGGATTCAAATTCACATTGGAATAATAATACGAAAGATACGCCGGATCCGACCTAAGCTCTTCCTCAGAAACAACTCCATTCACATCTTTCGTCCCATGAAAATCAGAAAACCCAGCTGCACCACTGCCACCACTGCCACCGGCGCCACCAAACAACCCTCCAACGGCACTCAAAGAACCTTCCACAGTAGGTGGAGCTGATCCACTCCTATATACATTAAGCTCTCGTTCGCGATCATTGCGATCATTGCGATCATCACCTACTTGTTGCCGTTGATCACGAAGCAACATCCCTATCTCTTTCTCCAATTCATCACCATAATACCCCTCGTTATTACCAATAACCGGTCTTCTTTCCAACTCAGACAACATTCTTTAAAATCTCAATCTAATATATTATCAAACTCCTGATCACTAAATATCAAACCCTAATCCAAAAATCAAAAAAAAAAAACTAAAAACTCAATCTTTTCTCATCACAAACCATAAACAGGCAAACCCTATATATTATCAATAACTTCAGAAAAATTCTGACTTACAGTTAGTTACTGGAAAGTTACTGGAAGCAGAAAAAAATCAAGCTTTCCGAAATATTCTTGAAGCTGAAACAGAACTAACCAAGAGAATCAAACATTAATCATAGAGTTATTTGCATAATTAATACTACTAAACAAGAAAATCGGAGTTAAGAATGGTGCAATGAAAACAGAACCAGAAAGAGAGAAAAGAAGGAGAGATAATCAATCTGGCGGCGATTGGTTCTTGCAAGAACCCTTAGGGTTTTGTTCCATTTGAAGAAGAAAATGAGGATTAAATACACAAGTGAAAAATAACGATGATAGAAGCAAAAACCCAACCCAACAAAACCAAACCCAAAGTTTTTAATTTTATTGTATATAAACTATAATATAAAATTTTGATACGAATATCGAAAATATCCAGAATATTTATTACTATTTTATGTATTTCCTAAACGTTAGGGTAATTGACCAAGTGATAACCGACTGATGCCAATGCAAGAGAGAGGGAATTTGTTTCACAGCGTGTAAAATGTGAGTGACTGACACGTCGGTGAATTAGATTCGGTAAGATCAGTAAAATGTGGGAAAGGACAGTAAATTTTGCACTACTCTTTCTTCACTTTTCTGTTAGTATTATCTTGTTACGTTGTTGTGAATCATCATTGTGTTTGTTTTTTTTCTTTTACAATTTTTACCATTTATTGCTAGGCTCTGTGCCACCCCGTTTTATTACTCAAACTGGTATGGTATAGTACGTTGTATATAAGGAGTGGCATTCCTGTGTTGCCTAAAGTTGTAGTAATTCTAGTTGGAGTATAATTAATTGAAAATATCCTAAAATTATGTATTAAAAAGTTAAATTCGAAAAGAAAAATTTTTAAGAATGTAGGTTCAATGTATGTTAAAAGTTTAAAATTTATTAATCCATTTTTATGCTTTTATTTTGACTTGGTGTAAAACTAGGTTCAATATATGTTAAAAGTTTAAAATCAATTAATCCATTTTTACTTTTTTATTTTGACTTAATGTAAAACTATTTATAAAATTCCGTGTGTATTTATATATAATTTACAATTAAGAAAAAAAATTATCAGACGGTTCGCACTCTTTAAAGGTTTAATAAAGGATGATACATATTATAGAAAGTTTTAAATGTTTCGTGAAGCAAACTCTACTATCAAACTAAGATGCACTGAGATTTAAGAGCATTTATCCCTGCATAATTAATCTCAGGCTTTGGTTTATTATTTATTTCGTGAACTACTTGGTTTATCATTTCTTTCATGAATTACTTGGCGTTGTTTTTTAGAAACGTTCTTTAATATTTCCATTCTTTCACTTCGATGGGTATTTCAGCGGCGTTGCGACTAGTGGTTTGCATTCTAAAAGAAACATGTGAGGTTGTGTGACAAACCACTTAGCACCGTACAAGGAAGGTTCATAAACAAGAAAACCACACTGAAGGGTCATGGTGGGAGAGAAGGAAAACAACAATTTTCCCTTCAACGCTTCCATTATTCGATTGAATCTTTAACAAGTGAGATGATAATCACATTGTAGCTTACACCGTAGGACAAATTTTCACATCTTGGGAAGACCTACCCATTAATGCTCTAATTGAATGTAAAACAAAGGATCACATCTAGTTCTTTGTCATTTTAGGTGGCATTCCTCGTTCAGATAGTAGTGTGTTATTCTATTATGGAAGGGTGTGGAAAAAAACATTTCTACAAATGCATAACCAATAGGGTATTCAGGGCGAGGAAAGACCCCCTATCTTTTTGTGATGAAGAATTGATCAACAATGTACCAACCCGCCACATTATGTTACTAATATGGTTGAAAATGTACGATACATTGGGACTAGAGTGAATTATGCAACCTTACGACGGTGGAAACCTTTAATGGTTTGATGGGTTTGGCATTAAACCTTGGGTATGTGGAGCTATCAGTAGCATCTTTGACAACCAAATGGAGAAGAGTCATTATGGTCAAGTTCTTGATAATTAGATTTAAACCTTATTACAATTGCAATGTGGGGAAGCTAGCGCTAGTAGAGGTTGTGCATGGTATCGTTAATAATCCATCTGAAGTTAAAATTCCACGCAAATGTCGATAAAGTTTATGTGCTCGAAATAGATTAAGAATCGTCTCGCATTTGTTTTCTAGTCTCACTAGCAAAGCATCAGTCACCAAAGAAGATTGAGGTTATCGAACATGTCACAAAATGACCACTCAAATTGGATGTCTGGATAGAGAAACAACCCCCTCAAAGATGAAAGAGATTGTGGTAAAACAATGCCTTTAGAGGCAAGAAATAAGGTTGAACGACTCAAACCCAATGGGAAATTCATTGAGGTCGTAGAGAGAAACGACCCCACGACAGTCGTCAAGATAAAGTTCGAATTACCTAAATTTGTACAAGGCTAGCTAGATTGATGCATCTAGAAAATGATGAATTATCTGCTTAGTATGTTGGGAAATGCCAGTATAAGCCCCAAAGTCGCTTATTATTCATTAGCTCTCTAGTAGTTAAAATACTTAATCGTTGTCGTCAACTATTTCACGAAATCGATAAGGTTAAACCCCTAAAAAAGATAATGTGTCATAATATCCTTATTTATTCCAAGTAAACATCCTCACCAAGTTCAACATATTAGAGGTCATGGTAACCGACAGCAAACACACTTCACATATAGAAGATTATGTTATTTGTTGAATGACCTACACACAACCCAACATTTCACTTTTATCATGCACTTTCATACCAACAACCAAGCAAAATGTTTAAATAAAGATTTATTTATGGGCATTATGTGACAACTAAATAACATAAAAGGAAATATGGGGCGAAAACTGTTACATTTTGCGTGCATATAGAATGGCACCTCATTCCACCATAAAGGAAACATTTTTTGACTCCCCTATGGAACTAATGCCTTCATTCCCGTTGAAATATGGGAGCTAAGTTGGAGAATCATACACTCTTTTATCAAGGGAATGGAATGAAAAAGGAACCAGAGAATACTTGGACTTCCTAGAATAATTTAGAGACTGAGATCTATTAAGCAAGGTCATAAGGAATCAAGGAATGGCATCAGAATACAACAAGAAGGTCAAAGATCTGGTCTTAAAGAGGGTCAACGTAGGATAGAAGAACTTCTATGAAGGAAATCTAGCCTCAAACTAGAAAGGACCATATTGAGTCATCACCAACACCGATCTAGAGGTGTATACTATAGAGACATTGGTTGGAAAACCAATTCTCAGTCTAGAACACATCAAAATAGAAAAGGTTATAGTGTTAGTTAGTAAAAACGAGTTAAAATTTATGATTTAAATCAATACAAAGGCTCCTTAAACTATTTATCCATGATTCTTCTTTATTTCCTTTGAAATTCATATCGGTGACGAATATAAGCACACTTTAAAATACTGTCAACGATTAAAAAATAAGGCATTGCTTATCCTCGTATTAAATTATTTGATCTGTTGGACATTAATTTCATGTGACTGAAGGTACAAAAACACAAGAAATGGGGGTTCAAATTGGGTTTCAGATATGACAACTCTTTACCAACTAATCACAAACCAATGACACAGACAACAATGATAAAAACACACAACGATTTTTATACTAGTTCACCGTTAATTAGGTTAGTCTAATTCACTCACCAGAGTGATTTCGCCTTCTAACAAGAACTTAATCCTATAATCAATCAAATTACAAACTCAAAGACCAATTGTTAATGACTTTTCAAGACTACTGACCAAACTTAGTCCATCGAGGAAGAACTCAATGACTAATTGTCAGTGACTTCTCAAGGCTACGGACTAAACTTAGTCCCTCAAAGAATAACTTAAAGTTACAGTACAAAGATACGTGTTTACAAGAATGTTTCTTAATAAGTATATACACACAATGAAATTTAGACTTTACACTTAAGAAAATATACAAATGAAAAAGCTCTAAGTGTAATGAGTATGGTTCTTTTCTTTTTGTTGTTGTATGTTACTTCACTATATGTTGTCTCTCACAGTTCGTTTCGTTTTTTTTTTGTAATTCCTTTGTTCTTCTTATATAGATTATGAATAGTATAATTAGAGGATTGAATTGGAAACATCTTTAATTCCACAGCTGTAATAGTGGTACGAGGTCGAGTCGTGAAACATGGAGTATCGTTGGTAGCACATTCCTTAATAATTCTAGCATATTTGTCTTTTAAGGAAACATTTAATCTCGGTGCTTCAATCTACGATTATTAGGAACATTGTTTCAATCATTGTTCTCTAAATCATTAGCTTCGTATTGAAGATGATTTGAAGCGTGGTCAGAGTCTAGAGCCTTGAAGATAGACTTTAGATCCTAGTGAATATGAGGCTTGAATTTATCATAGTAATTTTGGATTGTCTTTTCAGAAGCGTTGACTGTTAGTTAAACACCTCTTTATATTCTAACTTTGGTTCAGAATCTGATGGTGTTAAGAGTCTAGAGTCTGACAAAGCCCAAAGTCCATAGTCTCTCTATCTAGAGTCCAAAGTCTGCCTTATTCAGAGATTGTTTTATCCAACTTTGTTCAGCGTCTGACTTGTTCAGAGTCTTACATTATCCAACATCAGGTTTGTTTAGAGTATTTTTTATCCAACATCTGGCTTTTTCAGAGTCTACTTTACTCAATATCTGGCTTGTTCAGATTTTGCACACTTAACAAACTATCATAGTACAAAATTGTCCTTTATACTTTGATATCATCAAAATCAAGGATTGTGGATGTATAATCAAACTTGTTCCAACAATCTCCCCATTTTTTATGATGACAAATATTATAATTTTGATGAACAATTATGATT